ATTAATTCTGATTATAGCCGCAGTCTAGACAAACTGTTGACAGAGTGTGCGCTTATGTCACTCGGTAGCAAATCGGTTCGACACGCAATCCAACTTCTGCAATTCAATCGCGCGGCACGTTGCGCGTAATCGCTTCCTGCTGACACAGTGAACGCTCCAATTTATGATATTGGTGCCAGTCATATGCACACATGCACACGACTCTTCAGCCGGCTAGTTGAAACTCGAAACTGTCTTCTATCCACTGTTAAATAGAAGACCGATCGATACCGGCACACTGGCTGTTTATCCGACGTGATTGCTCAATCAAATAATCTAATTTGTATCCTAAATGCCATGTATCGTTTATAACAATTTACGTATAGAATTCTTTAATTGATTTATGATTTGATTTAATCGTCGGAGGAATCTGTTAATATTTAATCAAGAATTTGCATTTTTAATAGGAATGGAATTTTCTATATGAAGAAAATGGTTGACATTTGAAGAGGGAAAATTTTAATTCAACGTCGAATAGGAAATTTTGAATTTCGGTTTCATTTTCCACGTACGTGGCAGTTCATTTGTTTCTCCTTTCCCTTTGTCGACATTTCTTCGATGCATCTTCGATATTCGAATACGTTTGTACGGCATGCGTGTTATGCAACGCTCGCATCACCCGCCTTCGGTTTTATCCCGAAATTTCCTAGAATATCGTTCAATAGTTTTCGAAGGGAATTTTCAACAACAAAATGGAAAACTGATTTTTATAGGCTTTGAAAAATATAAAATTGTATTCAACGAAAATTAATTATTTAATTGCGATAGACTGAATAGAATTGGTTTTAGATTTAATTAAAATGAGTCAGTAGGAAGACGATCTTAAAAGCAAAATTACTATAAATTGAATGAATCTTGCGATACCATAGAATTGAAGCCTTGGCTGAATGGAGGTTCAGATTTAATAAAAATCTTTTTTACTCGGTGAAAAATCCAATTCCCGTTCAAAGACGGAATCGAACGGTGAATGGGGCGACAGTGGGAAGAAGGATCGGCTGCCACAGTTCGACAGAAAAAAATTTAATCAAATCAAAGGGTAAAAATTGACGGAAGAAGCTTAAAAGATTCAGCGATAAAGGGAATGGAGAACCTGAATCAAAGAATTTCCAATTTCGTCGAACCTTCGTTTCGCCAACAGGCGAATTTAGTTTCAAAACATTCGACGAACTTTAATTAAGAATGTATAGGCTGTGCATATACTTAAATAATGCTGGCATGTTGAATATGTTATTATAGATTCCTATTACTATTAAAAAGCTAAAATTATAGTGATTGCACATTTTTCATAGGTAATAGTATCACCTACAACTTATATTCGAAGTATTTGTCGAAATT